CTCCGAGAATTCACGGCCGAGATTGAGAAGCTCAAAGGTGAACTGATTGCTACCCGACAGAGGAACGGCGTCTACCTGTCCAACGATGCCTACGAAGAGATGACGGTGCAGAACGAGTCCCGCAGGATACTCACAGAAGAACAAGCCTCCAAGATTGAGACCCTTGAGAACAATTTAAGGAATAAGGTTCAGGAGCTCTTTTCCTTGACATCGAGTTTCAAGGGTCTCAAGAAGGAGCACGAAGGTACCAGGGTGCAGCTGGACGAGACTCAGGAGGTCCTCGACCAGACTGAGCTCGTGCTGGCGGCGACGCGCAAGTCTCTGGCCGAGGAGACACATATCCGCAAGGCACACCAGGCGACAGAGTCGAGGCTTGCCGCTATTGGCGGTGAGCTACTTGGTACCCTCGAAAGGACGGTACATGACGTGGACGGACTTTTCGCCAAAAACAGTCGAAAATCGGACCTGCACAATCTTAACAGAAGCACATGGAGCATGTCCCAGGCCCAGGTGTCGGGAATTACGGAATTGGTCGAAAGTCGAATTGAGAAGTTCTGCCAGGGCCAGGAAGAGCAGATCACGAGCATGTCGGAGAGGATGCGGTCTTTCGTCGATACGGAAGTCGAGAAGCTGGAATCCACCCAGGCGTTTTTGGACGAGAATCTTTCACGTTTCGACGACTCTAAGATACAGCTGTTGGAACAGAAGCAAAAGTCCAAGGAGGAGATGGATGATGTGTTGGAAGAGATTAAAATTGTTCGGGATAATGTCAAGGAGCGGGTCGGTGAGAGTCTGCAGGCTATCGCCTCTGCTGCTGGGAGGATAGCCGGGGATGTGCTCAGCGAGCTGGACACGTTTCACAACCAGCTGCATACCTCGTACAGCTCGTTGGGCAAGGATTTCAAGACCATTTTTGAGGAACTGCTCCGACATATTGCTGCCCAGAAGGCAGAGTCCGATAGTTTGAGGCAGCAGCTTGAGGTCGCTAGCCGGACCATTGTCGAGTCGAATACGTCTGTTTCTTCGAGGATTAAGGAAGTCTTGGACGAGGAGCGGAAACAAGCTGCTTCTGAGCGGGAGAATTTGTTGTCACAAATCACCACTTTGATTACCTCGCAGGCGAAGAGTCAGGAGTCACGACTTGTTGACAAGACTGACGCCATCCGCCAGACACTGCAGGATTCTAACCAGACATTTGATGGTGCTGTTACCTCGTACTCCCATGGTATGGATATTTGGGCTACCAAGGATACCCACTTGCTTGAAGAGGTTGCCAAGACGAGGGACAACCTCAAGACCAGGCTGCAGGATGACTGGGCGGTAAGCATATCTATTGATCTAATATTAAAGCACCCGGCCCTTGCTAACTATTCTCCAGACCGCCAATATCCACAGCACCTCGATCCAAAACACCACCAAGTCTGTCCACGAGGAGACGGTTCAAGTCGTCGACCAGCAGATCAAGGACCTCGACGTCCAAATGAAGGACCTCGACGATTTTGTCACGCGGGCCAAGACGCAAAACGCCCAACACCACGCACAACACGCCGAAGCAATGTGCAACCTCGACGACGCGGTAGAAAAGTCCTTCACCAGCATATCAGAGCGCTTCGTCAATACATTTGACAGAGTCCACCAGCTGAGCCAGGAGATGGACACGAATATGAACCAGCTAGCCGACACCTTGCCGCCGCTCGACGAAGAGCTGGTCCAGCCTTTGTCCTCTCTCCGACATGATATCAAGAATACACTGCTGCATGAATATGAGCCCACGGGAGAGACGCCTGCGAGGGTGCAATATCTGTATCCTACCGACCTGCCACGGACACAGCCGCATGATGTTCTTATTGCGGGCATGAGGGATGAGCCTACGCCGAGCAAACCTGCGCCGGTGCAGCAGGTGCCTGTTATCTTTGGGGACGAGAGTGAGATGATGGACCTTGTGGAACCAGCCTCCTCCCAGGATGGCTCTTTGACTCCGTCACAAGGTCCCGACATCCTTCCCGATGCTCGACCTTCGAGCAGCGGTGACTCGGGCTCGACATTGACACAGACACTTCAAGTGCCAGCACCGAGTGCGACAGAAGCGCAAACACCGGCAACAGCAGAAAAAAGGCAACGGACTCTTAGTGTGAGCACCGTGCGCAGTCTGCGCGAGGTGAATCCCAACCTGTCGACGGTAACGACTTCCAAATCGGAAATGCTGGACCTTTCTACAAGTGCTGTGCTCTCGATGCCTGCCATCGGGGAGGATGAGAATACGATTCACTCAAACTTGACCCAGACACAGGCGGTGCCGCTTCTCAAGAGGAGCGGGACTGCTTCCACAACTGGTTCCGGGAATAATACTGGGACTGGCACGGGCACGGGAATCGCAAAGCTTACGAGGGGGAGTTTGCGCAAGTTGTCTACTACCACGGGGACGGGGACAAGAACGAGAGGGGGTGGTATTGATGAGAATGTACCGCCGTCGTCGGGGTTGGGGGCTTCCCTTGGGCCGCCGCATCATGGACGTGGACAGGGACATTTGTCTGAGCGGGCTTCGAAGCGGAAGAGTCCTAGGTTGAATTAAAACGATTCTTTTTTGGGAGGGAAACTGTTTCGAGTCGGTCGAGAAGGACTGGGCTGGTTGAAAGGTTCCTGGTTAAACGCACCGCTGTGGAGTCATTTCTACCTTGTTGTATATTTCTGTATGGCGTAGATTGTTGGACAAGGGATTCATTCAGGGCAGGTCAGGCTTTATCAAGGCCGGCTATGTGGCGAGGGCTCTTTTTTATTTTTATTTTTGCTGGTTGGTTTACTTCAAGTCTCACTTTCAAGGTTGTAATTCTTATATCGAGTAACTGATACCCTTCCTGTTACCTCTCTCTTTTCTTGTCTCACCTTGTCTGGGGACTTTGAGTGTGATAAGCTGTTCTTTCCTTTTTATCCCCTTTTCTTTTGTTACTCACTATACTAGTACTGTAAATACTTTGTTTCCGGAAGTAACATAAATTGAGACTCTTGGAAGCTGTACTTTTAATATTTTGTTCAGTACCAAGAGTATTTCTACTGCGTTGGTTTCTCGCTTTTCCAAGTAAACATGACCCGTCGCCCCCTTCCCTTTTAAAACAAGTTTCTTTTCGAACCACCCATCTTCAATTGATTTTCCAAGATAGCACGATACATGTACCTCCACATCGATCCCACTCACCTTTTCCTCAGACTAGTTAGTCCCTGTCCCGTTACTTTACTCCCTCTTCTCCCTCTTCTGGGCATCCTCCTCCTCCTTCGCAGCAAACTGCCGCTCAACCTCGTCCGCAAAACCCCCAATCGAATCCCACCGCCCCGAAAAAACCAGCTTATTTTCTCTATTCAACTCTTCCAAATTCCCGCCCGTCCCATACTTGTCAGGTTTCTCCCCGCCACGAGAGATCCAAACCGATGGGAAACCCAACTCCTTGGCTGGTACATGATCCGCGTCTAGACTCCGCGCAACATGCAAAAGCTCGCCCTTTTTCCAGTCCACGTTAAACTCGGACTTTGCATGGTTAAACAAGTAGTGAAAGTTGGTATGGCTTGGTTTGTAAGAGCCTATCTGTTCGGCCGTGAGGATTGCATCGAACTTGAAGTTATACGGCGGTTTGTTAAAGTACCGCTCTTGGAGGGATGTGATTAGGCTGTTGGAGACGTTGCTCAGGATTATGAGTTTGTAATGTTTTTGAAGTTTTTCAAGGCCGGGGATCGTGTCGGGGAAGGGTTCCCAGCGCGATGGGCCGGTTGCGACATCTGGTTTTGAGGAAGGGATAGATACGCCGGCTTCTGTGGCCAGCAGGGAGAACGACTCGGCGAGGTTATCTTCGTATAGCTGGGTGGGTTTTTCTTTCCAGAGGTGGCGAGAGTGTGCGTCAAAGTGCTCGACTGCTGTTAGGGGGCGGAGGTTCCACTCGTGGGAGGGGGGGAGTTGGGAGAGGATTGGTTGCAGGTCTGTGATGAGGCCGTTTTCCCAGTCTATGAGGGTGCCGTAGCAGTCGAAGGATAGGGCTTTGTAGCCTGTTAGGTCGGGGGTTGATGACATTCTCTCACAGAAATAGGTTCTTGATTGTTAAGAGCTTGTTTGGGTAGGATGTGATATGGAAAAGGGGCTTGTTTTGGTTGCGTTGTTGTCAATGGGAATAGATGGCGTTAAGGGGTTGATTGGTAGCGACGAGGAAGGAGTTGGTGTGATTTGAGTGAGTGCCCGGTGAGTACCTGTATTGAAGATGGGTCTATCAAGAGGCTTATATACTATTTGATCAAGAATGAGAGATTATAGAGATCTTGCAATCATTGATCCTCTCCTTTATTATGATGCGGGGAAGTCATCCATGCTATCATACAGAAGAGCATTGCCAAGAGGAGCAACGTCTAACTCCGAATATCGCCCTTGCAGTTACATGTCAACCGGCGATCGGCGAGTCGAAAGGGAAGGCATGTAGATGGCGTGATAATTCCGGTTTCACGGGCTCGTCACTTGATACCATATTTCGAGCGAGCGTTGCCGTATTCCGTGGCTTGCAGTTCGCCGCTAATTCCAGATCGCCGGGATAATAAACCCAGGGGTGACAGCGACTCTTCGGCGTGACTGTTTGGGAAGTCTACATGCGCCTTGCGTGCATAAGTCTCCCGTTGACTACCGGTACACATATTGCTTCTCGGACTTAGCAGTTGTTCAGGCTACAACTCAGCAGGTTTGCCCAGGATGATATCTTATTTGCGAGTCACCAAGCTTGCTGAGAGATCGTTCATGTGAGGGCAGCAATGTGCCTTTTATTTGGTGTCACTGGTGGAATGGGAATGGTACCTACTGTACCTGAGGCGGGGTCATCGATTGCCCTGAGCTGAGTGAGAAAAGGGGCGTACAAGAATGGAGGTCTCAAGCAGCAACAAAAGACCAAAATGAAGAAAAGACATGTCAACAACAAATAACAAGAATACTATTGCCCAATGAGGCATAAAAAGGAGCAAAAATGAAACAATCAAGGTCGTGCCCGGGTTCGAACCGGGGTTATCAGAAGGCTTGTCGAGGGTGATTTCTCTGCTTTCCACTCAATTCGGAAGGGAAGAGAACTCGTCAAAATCTGAAGTGATAACCACTACACTACACAATCATTGGACATGCTCTCCTACTCAGCTTCTAAGTTTAAAATAACCCAAGCCACCCGATGAATTCTGAGGATCTCGAAAATGAGTGCTGAATCGTTTTTTTACGTGCTTTTGGTTCCGCCAAGTTCTCCACAGAGCATGCGGCATGTGATGGAGTCGTACGCACCGCTTGAGCCCTAACTCGGTCAGGATCTCCACTCACAAACCCAATCAATGGAGACCTTGTCAACAAATCAGCATCAGGCAAGATGGCCGAGCGGTCTAAGGCGCCACGTTAAGGTCTACCTTAATAACATCCTCCAGGATTCCGTGGTCCGAAAGGGCGTGGGTTCGAATCCCACTCTTGTCAAGCTTATATTTTTTGTTCAACTATTTTCAATGTTGGAACTGGTGTTCAATATTTGTTTACCAGGCCCAACCCAGCAGTCTATGAATGTTGTTAATTTTCATCATTGGTCCCTTTTTTGTTTTCTGATGCTTCTCGAATATATGTTGTTTATCTTCGTGAACTACTGCAAGACATCAAATGGTAGATTCATATAACAGAACAAGTCCACTCGTACAAATAAGCTACAAAAGGTATGCGTGATCAAATTCACACCCCAGTTCTCGACCCAGTTGTTTCTAATAACGTCTACAGTCATTCTAAGTGATATCCAACGTGCCACGTTCGTGGGAATACTTTCATGACTTCCAGCTAGCGTCTGGTCAACGTCATTCTAATCAGATGAATATACCAAACTGAAATCATCGTTTCCAGCATTCTTCTTAACCATATTAGCCGCCTGGACAAACCCCGCAACTGCAACCGTTTTTTTTACAGGCCCCTTCTTAGCAGGCGCCTTGATTGCAGGCGCCTTTTTAGCAGCTGCCTTGGTTGCAGGCGTCTTGGTTGCAGGCGCCTTGGCTGCAGGCGTCTTGTTAGCAGCCCCCTTGTTGGCAGGCCCCTTGTTGGCAACCTCTTTGTTTGCAACCGTCTTTGCGACCGCCTTATCAACCCCCTTATCCGCGCCTTGATCAAGATCCTCAGCCTCGGAGGCAGTTTCATCAGAGTCTTCATCCTCGTCCTTATCAAAAGACTCGTCCGCACCGTCTGGGAAACTGAGAGGCCGCAGGTAGCCGTTGACAAGGGCACCCCCATACGTCTTGTCCACAGAGTCCTCTGCCTCTTCCTCGTCCTCTTCCTCTTCCTCGCCGTCTACCTCCATTTTTTCCTCCCCGTCTTCCTCTTTGAGTTCTTCTTCTTCTTCCTCATCGTCCTCCTCTGACTCCAACTCGCTCTCCTCCCTCCCAGCAGCCAGATTCCCAGGCTTATACGTCACAGTCTCCCATCCAGCCCTGGGTGAATTCATGAGCGGGACCTTGTGCATCGTCCTCAATGAAATTTCCTCCTGGAACAACGTAGCACACCTCTGAGCAGCCCGTGCAATAACCTCCGGCTCGAACCCAGCACTGGCCGCCGCCCTAAGGACATGCCGCCAGTTCCTGAGCTTAAGCTTGCTTGCGAACTTGACCTGGTGCTTCTTGAGGGTAAGAGGAGGAGGCGTACCCGCATACGCAGAGATAGAGCCAACACTGCTAGCCCGAGATTTCGACCGTTTTTGTGGTGTCTTTTTTGGAGTTGGACCCGTGTCTGTACCACCAGGGGTAGTAGGTCTTGATTCAGTCTGTGGTGTACCCTTCGTAGAACCCGCACGACTACGAGCGGCACTCTTCTTCCCAAGTCCAGGGGTAGGGCGGTCGTGACTGTCCCAGTAGGATTCTGGCAGAGCCTTTTTCTGAAGCCTCGCGACACGAACGCGCATCTGCTCCTCGGTTTCGCCTGGCAGAGGGACCGGGGTTCGCTTTGGTAGAGTCACCGGGGTTTTGGGCAGAGGTACTGGGATTTTGGGTAGAGGCACCGGGGTATTGGGTAGAGGCACCGAGGTTTTGGGTAGAGGCACCGGGGTTTTGGGCAGAGGTACCGGGGTTTGTTTCGGCAGAGGGACCGGGGTTTGCTTTGGCGGAGGCACCGGGGTTTGCTTTGGCAGAGGTACCGGGGTTTCAATGGATTGCGTAACTTCCACAGGTGTCGTGTTTTCAGTGAGAGTTAAATCTTTGCTCGCTGGACTCGATCGTTTGGGTGTTTTGTCCCTTGCCTCGGTATCCGCCTCAGCTTTGGTATCATCATTCTTGTTATCCTTTGCGGTAGCCGCAGGACCGTACACCTTGAGACGCATTGTGGCAAGCCGGGAAATGTGCAGCGATGTCAAAGTCCCGTCGATCTTGTCCATGATGTCTGTCAAGAAAGGACGGAGTTTTCCAAAGTTGACCTCGTCGTCCGCCCTGAGCAACAGTTCAGGACTCGGAGATCGTTCCTTCTTAGATGGCTTCTTCTTAGCCCGTCCCCTAGAACCAGAAGCCTCAGGCTCATCAATGTCCATGGCATCCCCATCATCCTCAACACCTTCCTCCTCGCCCCTCTTTCGCTTTGTTTGTCGCCGATAGAACCTCTCCTTGGCCGCCCTAAAAACCTCGGCCGCAATTTCCTCCCTCAGGTTATCCCCAGGCAGCTTCTTCTTAGCAACACGCCCCCGCGCTAAATCCGCCATGAGTCCGCCATCCCCAAGCCTCTCATACCCCCTCTCATACGCCGGCCAGGCAGTCCACGTTTTCGCCGGTTTCCAAATATCTCCATTCTCGTCAGACCCCTCCTCATCATCATCCTCAATCTCACCACCCTGTCCACTTGGCGGAATATCCGTCTCTTTCAAACTGGCCTTTCCCTTCTTCTTGGGCGTTGCCTTTGCCTTGCCCTTTCCCTTTTTCTTCCTCTCCTCAATCTTGATCCGCGCATTGTGCCTCAACACATGACAATTATACAAATGCACCGCCAAATCATCCATCCGAGCCTTCTCAAGAGCATACCACACCTTTTCATCTTTATCGGTATACTTGCGCCACGTGCTCGGGTACCCAATCCATCGATTCGGCCTCGTCTCATGGAGTTCCTCCGAGGCAATAGAGTTGATTTCCGATACTGTTTTGTCCCAGTCCCGAGGGTCGAAATTGTCCAGCTGGCAGTTTTGGACTTTGATATTAGTTTTTGGTAGGCCATCATCATCGTCGTCATAGTATGGATAGTCGGTTTCGACGTCTGAGTCGGGGAAACCGTCGATGAGTGGGTTTTCGATCTCGGTTTCTTCTTGTTGAGATAGCCATGCTGGATGGGGGTTATATTGGGGTTCGCGGTTGATGGCTGTGAATCCGCCCATCTTGTTGACGCTTTTGTTTGTTGTGGTCTCGTTTGTTGGCTCTTTCCTCCTCCCTCGGATCAACGACTCATTTTTGGTGGGGTTGAGTGAAGGATGTGAAAATTTTGAGAGATGTCGACAGAGGACAATTGTTTGGCTCAAGGCCAGAGCAAAATTTATTGAGCAATGCTTTTCTTGTCGCTTGCTGTGTCTGAGAAGGGAGAGGGCGAGTCGGGATGAGATGGATGCACGGCCCAAGACCCCTCAAAAATATTATAGCAAGCGGTGGGATGAAATGAAATAATTCAATCCGGTGTGGAAACAATTCGGTAGAGGGCCGAAATCTTAATTGCTCTGCAAGGGCAAACACCAAACGAGGCTTCCAGATTGTTCTTAGAGCCAGGTGATGAGTGAAAGTCGCGATGCAGTAAACAGAGGGGCGCGCATCAAGGTTCACCCGCCGCAGCACAGTGCTAAAATATAATTCAACCCCGACCCCACTTTCTTCCATTGCTATCAAGGAAGGTGGTCCCAGAGCAAAAGACCTGGAAATCAGTTCTACTGCTTAACATCCAAGAGGTTAAATATACGTGTGGATTATTACTTCACAAAAGAAAGGCCATTATTTTTGGAACCTACGCTGATATGGATATATGCAAATGACAAGAAAAAGAACCTGACAGCGCAGCTCGTGCCACTCGCTCGTCCAAACCCAAGAATATATGCAAAAGAAATGCCAGGCTGGACTTTTAACAACCAAACATGATGCAGTCCACAAGCTGAACCACCAAGTCCATGATCTTACACGACACCAAGCTTGCTATGGCACTGTCCATCTGCGCCATCATATCTGGCGAATCTCCTTGCCCACCATCTCAGGCCTCTCAACCTCCCACTCATCCCTCAAAACCGCAAAAGTCAAATCACACACCAACAGACTCAACCCCAAGCCCCAAACCAGGGTAATGGCATAAAAGAAGTTGGCATTCCCGCTACCAGCATAAATCCACAGGTGATAGAACGCCGGGCCCAGAAAGCAACAATAGATAACGATAGCCGTTTCCAAGAACGTATATCGCATAAGCGGGAAGACATGGCGGAACAACGGGATCAAAGCCAGGAACAAGGACGTGTCGCTGATGCTGGGGTATGGCTTGAAGATGGCGAATATTCCCAGGAGAAGGGTCATCACCGCCAGAGGTTGTCGACGGATGCGAATGGTTAATCCGCCCACGTAGGCTGAGAGATGTAACCAGAAGACGGCGAGGAAGAAGGACCGGAACGAGTCAAACATCTCGACGAAAAAGTACCACCATAGGCCGACGTTGGGGGTTAGATCCTGCAGCGTGAGTTGGATGCCGTATGTGGAGGGCAGGAATTCCCACGAGCAATCGGTCAAGAGGTATGACATGCCGAAGAGGATGGCATGGACGCCGACGACGATACCGAGATGGGTTACTGTAAAGGCGAAGGGCGTGGTCTTGGTGGTTTGTTTTCGTCGGTCGTATGCGAGAAGGAGGAGCGGTGGGAGGAGAAGAAGCGGGTACAGGGAGAGGTACGAGGCAAAGGAAAGGGCGACCATTGCGGTGAATGGTGCTCCTGCAATCGCCTTGGCTATCGCGTGGATGATGGCGCATGTTGTAAAGACGCTCGTTGGTCGTCCTATGCATGTTGCGATCGTAAATGGATTAAGGAGAAACCTGGTATGGTTGGCAGTTTGTCAGCGAATTGCGCTGGTGTTGTTGTTAGATATCAGAGGGGCTTACAATGCA